TTTCACCGCTGGAGGAAGTGTAAGGACTGCCTTGAGGCCACCGCCTTTTGGCGAAATGACAAGGCTTCTTTCGTAAAATGGAACAACTGTGGCGGTGTCTGTATCCAAGTTCCATTTTGTTTGAACCTGGGTATTGGTTATACTTTTCACTTTAGTTGTGCTGTACAGATTTGTTAGATAGTATATTTATTTAATCAAATTGGCCTAACGTTTCGACAGCATCATCGCCTCAGAGGCCTAAAAAGTCTTAAAGCGTTATTTACGATGACAGACCACCATGTATCTCCTCCACCGACCGCAGCTAGTTTCGGCCTACCTTCAACATCTTCCCGCAAAATCGTGGCAGAGATGAACGCACCTGCGTATCACCGCTGTTCGATATATCCGCACCGGAAATGACAGAAGTCGGCGGACAAATGAGTAATATAGTAGAAAATCAAAAAAAGCCATCCACTATCAGAGCTCCCATAACGATACATAGGGCAGGAAGTCGGCAGTAATGGACAAGCACTCATTCTTGTTGTTCATTCCTGGATTCTTTTTAGAGATCCAGAAGGCTTTCGTTGCCTTTTGAGCCGAGATCTCCTATTCATGCGTTAAAATTGTGCATTTGACCCTAAAGTCTAATCTAGTTAGATCGCAAAATAATCGCCGTACATCTCGCAGACACTTCACTATATTTGCCAGGTTTTCAAAAAGATATTACGCAATGTAGGAGACTCAATGACACATGGACGTTGATAGCAAAAGCTGCGGGTTTTGATGACAGATTTGTGAGACGGTTGAAAATCAAAGTTCAACATGTTGAGTTTTCTATAGCCTCTCTAAAACGCATTATCCAAAAAAGACATGTGTTCAATGTCGTCAGACGCTTATAAAATCAAAGCAACTATCAGTACAAGTGGCCCCTCTGACCGAATTTCATGGTTTTTGAGCAAGATTCTAACTCGACTGTTATCGAAAATACCGGCCCATTTATCTAACACAGTGGAATTTGTGCAGCAAATTCGAAACTCGAATGACTCGAACAGAATACTTGACGTGACCTCACTTTACACAGACATTGATCATCGCTGCAGGCCCTGTGGGAGCTATGGATAAACATGCCGGAACTTTTAGCACATTCGGTCTCAGCAAATCTCGCGTTTCGACCCTAGTGAGTGAGTGTTTGAAGTGTAATATTCTCCGATGGTCTGGAAGGTACTACTCCCAAATCCGAGAACTGACTATGGGTCAAAGTATAACACCGGCTCTGGCTTTGCTTCATGAGTAAAGTTGAAAAGACTGTGCTTAGTCGAATGCCTTCGATGTGATGTCGGTACATCGATGACTGTTGTTTGGTAACCACGACACAGTCCGAAATGAACAAATGCTACAAAATCCTCATAAATAGTCCGAATACCTCAGAGTCACCCGCGAAAAACCACGAGGAGGATGGCTGCCTTACCTGAATACGTTGGTTGGAATGTCTAATGGCGTTGTGACAATGAAATGATATAGTAAGGATAGCTGCAAAAACATCCTCATCAAGTCAACTCCGCACACCCTATGTACATAAAACGCGCTGTTATCGGAAATATGTTTGAAACGGCGACAGTGGTGTGCTCCGGAGAGGATGGACGCCGCGAAGCGTGAAACTTGGCTTCACAAATAGCTCGCAGTAATGGTTAATCTGTATCTACGCGAAAGAAAGTGACATCCCATACACGGTGACCACATTCAGATTACCAACAAACTTTCACTATGTATTCTTTTATATCTGATAAGTTCGCCTCTGCCTTTCGCCAATGTATTGCTCGTGCGACTTGATGACGTCGTTCTAGTCTGCACACCAAACGAGAACATTAAAAAGCAGCTTGTGCTTATCGTCTCTACGACCGACAATGTATAACCGAGCAGTGTGTAGATGCCCATATGGCAAAGAGGGAGGTTGCGCAGGTTCGCAATGCGCATTTCGCAATTTCTGCGAAAAGAAGTTAGAGATAGGGCGAAACTAACTGGCTGGAGAAGACATCTGGTGTTCTGGTGTTGTAAATACGCTGTGAGCCTTTTTAGGCCTCTGAGGCGATGAAGCTGTCGAAACGGTAGGCCAATTCGAGTAAATAAATATACCACCTAACGAACCTGTATGGCACAGCAAAACTGGAAAGTATATGCAACACACACAACTTTTCCCCGTGTGCTGCTTGACTTCATATGCCTGCCGTCTAAGCTCTTTGTTTCTCAAACGCTTCTCACTCGTCATAGACTTCCTCACAAATATGTGACCAAATCCATCGAGGGTAACGTTTCTCACTGACTTGGCTTTGATAGCAGGAATGATGGAGAATACTTTGGGGCGACCGCTCAGTGCGACAGTTCGAAGTCTAATGGTAACAATTTGAAAAATTTACCTTTTTTCAGATGCTGTGTGAAAATGAAATAATGTAAAATAACAATAAAAAGGAAGAGCAACACTTCCCACAAACCTTACATTTCAATTAAAAACTGAAAATTACGGGCAGACAGCCACTAGTAGGGCAAATACTCGCCACAGAAATGAAAATTGCAAAACTGTTTAAAAGGCCCAGCACGTAAGCAAATGTCGAGCTGGAATTCGTTTTGAGTGGAAAACAAAGGAGTTATCATAAGTATAGATACGTTCACATGTAAGTACATTCCTTTCGACAAGTTGCTACACGAGTAACATGCAAAAACATGATTTTGCTCGCGTGTTCATCTTCAAAAATCTAGATTTTTGAATATGAAAATGTCTCGGTTACAGCGCCCACGTAACGATATGACAAAGTATTTGGAGTATAAACAAACATGGACTAGGGAAATTATAGTGCAGAGATTATTGTGGGAGCTATGTGAGGATTATAGCAAGCTTTATTCTGAAAATTATAACCACAAAATGTGAAATGGCTCTTTTGCAGAACACAGATGCACGATATGGCACGAGATTTGGTGGAGTTGAAGGAACAAATATGAAAATTTATGATAAACTTATGTGAATAAAACGTGTGCTTAAATTTTCTCCAAATAAGGTGGGCATTTGCCCAAATATTGTCCGTTTTAGGTTAGCAAATCTTCCATTTCACTCATTTCAGAATTTTAATATAAATCTGTTCTACACCTAAAGTTTAGTATGCATTAATATTTTGGTTCCAAAACCCCTCCTTTCCTCTTTGTCAGGATCTGGAATAACGCCAGTCTTACTCAGGAGAACGATAGTGGTAAAGGCGGCTTAGGGACCTTCCTGTTAAGAGTAACGCAAAACTCTCTTCACCAGAATTACATACAGTGGAACAATCCCTTTTATTCTAATGCTTTCCACCAAAGTGACCTAGACCTGTCCCTCTTCTCCCCTTCCAGCGCCTTGAATCTTCAAAATGCAAAAGATTCCTTTTTCGAACCTTCTTCCGAAAAGTAGTGCAACTCTCAAACATCCCTTAGTTCTTCTCCCAAAAGTGCTTTGCAAATTTTTCAAAGAATTTATTACCTTTGTAACGTCAAAGCTTTTTTCCGAAAGTGACGCGAAATCTCGATTACACCTCAGTATCTTACCAAATATCACAATTCTTCTACACGCTTGAAAGTCCTTACAGAGTGACGCGGAACTTCTGGACTCTTACTATATTTCTGAAAAAACAACACGGATTTCTTGCAAACACATAAACTCTGCACAATTTCATGATCTTTCTGATTTAGGTGAGCAGAACCCCTCTCAGTTACCATCCAGATCAGCTACCAAATTAACAGTACTTTTTTTGAGTACAGGCAGTGAATGGAAACTTCTTCAACGCTTGAAGGTCAATGCTATTTTCAGAAATTAGAAGGTGACACAAATATGTTCTAGGCTCCTGCCAGAGGTGTTGCCTCTCAAATTTCTGAGAATCTCTGCGTCTCCAGAAGGAAAGGTCTCGGAAAGGTCAAAACACACAGTTTATAGGAGGGTTTTGACGAATCCTGCTTGTTTATGTAGTAGAGAAAATTGCATCAACGCTCGAACCAGTGTCCGAGCAGAAATTGATTTTGAGATTTTCTGCTTATCTGGGCCCAATCGCTATGCTGAATTCGAAAATCCACACTAGAGCGCGAAAACGACGAGAAGGGGTTCTAATAAAGTGGAGAACCAGCAGGTGGGCGGGGTCTTCCTCTCTGTGGAATCACGCTCCCAGTTTCTTGGATCGACCTTTCGCTTCCGCCAGCCGCCCTAATATCGCCACCGGCTAAGCTCGAACTCGTGAACTGAGGCCGGAAACCAGAAGATCGCTTCGGAAGCTGGAAGGGTGACTTCACAAAGTGAAAGACCCCGCCAGCTACTGAGTTCTCTCTTATGTTAGATCCCTTTCGCCGCTTTTCGCTCTCCAGTGTGGATTTTCGGATTAAGCGTAGCAAGTAAGCCCGGGTGAAAATTTCAAAATCGGCTTCTTGACCGGACGCCGTATTTGAAGGCATTGCGGTCATAAACCATTATATGTCGGATTCGGATGGTGGCACTAGCTACCGTACACAGGGCGCGCGGCGGGACCCACAAAAGTTGGAATGAGTTGGCAACAAGCCAGCTGCTCACCGGAGAAACCATTTTGTGGCTTTCTGTGAATGATTTTTCGTGTCAAGTGTAAAATTTCACGGTTTGCCTTTCTTCCAGATACCAGGGATAACACACTTGAATTCTAAACGGAGTCGAAGTGGCAGTTTAGAGGTAGTTACACTTTATTCACATGCAAACAGACAAGACTTGCTTTGGGATCATTTTTTACTGACTGTGATCTGACTTAGTGCAAAAATGCTACTTTAGTACCTAGGAGGTTGCAATAAGAAAAGTAATTGTCAGCTCGGATCTCTGAATCTCCTTCACTGTGATGCCACGATTTTTAAAGTACTGCTCTAGGGCGTATCATTGCGTGAGTCTACTCCAGCACGAGCTCCGATTTCTTGTTTACCGTTTCAACCAACGGCGCGACCAACTGTTTCTCCTCTCTTACTACCGATCGTGCGCACTAATGGTGTACAGCCTCCAGACCCTCCACCACCATTTGTAGGACCATTGCATCAGGCCTTATGAGCAGGTAATTGCTTTGCGTTTTCTTTTGCGGCCCACTAAACTCTCAATAGCATTTGAATACAAAAAAGGCTTTTCCTTTTGTTTTTCTTCTCACCTCAAACCTCAATATTTTATGCAGACAGTGGCTACCATTATTTAGTCAATATTTCGTGGCTTTTAAGACTCGGAAGCTTTCCAGATGTTCCACGAACAGATGAAAGTGCGTCACCACCACCGCGATGAGATCTAGGGTGCTAGCTCAGTTGCAAGTCACCAATACTGCCGTCCATGGTGATGCCAAAATATTCACCAAAAATGCTCATCCCTTTGACCAGTGAGTTATATCCATTGCGTACATGCAGTTAGTTCTTCCTTTTGGTCCTCTATAATCTCTTTTACAAACTATTAGCATTTTATCACATTATCACATTTTCTTTTCTTGTCGCACTAACTTATTTTGATGCGTTTTCAAGATTATGACGCTTGTACTTGACGCCTTGCGGTACATGAGCGGACCCAATCGTTGTGCTTTGGCGCGAACAATGTTGATATCATGCATGTTGATGTATGTTTTCAACGAGGCTAAGCTATTCTTCTAATCTATTTGCAAATTCAGCGTGTTTTTGGTGTGCTTACGGTCAAGTCAGTCCCGATTTCGCTTTTGTATCTGTAAACAATACGGATACCTTAGCCGCAGTTTCCTCACAGTCAGGTAGTCATGACTTTTTGAAGGTTCTGATCTCGTACAGCGACTGAATGTAACTACCAAAGCTCAGAAGTATATTGGTAACCTGCTGCGCATGCGCAAACATGTATGTCGGAAATGTCAAAGAAAAAGGAGAAGCTGAGTGATTTGTTCGAATGAAAATAGAGAAATCTTCGCAAGCTTTCAAGAAGACGCTGATTAAATTGAAAAGGAATCATCTGAGCAAATGTATATCTCTGTAACGTCTGCGTCGGTTCGTCTCATCAAGGTTTCCTTTTTTTCAGTAATTGTCTATGTGTTTAGTGCATTGTATCAGTTTCATCCTTTCTTTTGGTTTTCCTTTTCTTCTTCTTCTGATTTATAAGCACGTTTCAATTTTCTTTGCACATCCGTTCGTTTGAATTTGGATGAGTGGTAAAACATTTGTGAGCATAGCCATTTGGATTATGTTTTAATAGGTGCTTTGGAAATCGAACATGAATTTGCCTACACCATAAATGGGCTTTGTAATGTGTGGCATCCGTCATACTTGATCCTTTCGATCCGTTTCCTGAAAAATGAGCGCTAACTAATTTGTCATTTTGCTGTACGCCACACCAAATTACAGTAAGCGCTCGCTTTGCACGAAGCGGATCATGCGGATCATAAGCGATCAAGAGGATAAACAGAATTAAGTAAGCCGGGTACATATGAAACTAGGAGCTTATTTTCAAAGTGCATGAGGTAGAGGGCAGTGGTTTTATTGGTATTCGAGTTTTTGAGAACGTATCTAGGAAAACTAACTTGTGCTTTAGGTAGTGCTGGCCTTTTCAATTTATTTACAGCGAAAAGTTTTATATCTCATGGGTGGTAGCCTAGTTTGAAGCGTGGAGAGGTCAGTGAGTGTAGTCACTTGCCTTCGAGAGTTGACCCGTTTGTTCGCTTCCGCTAGAGTAGGCGGATCATTGTGGTCAATTGATCTATCGATTACCCTCCAATCCAACGCAATGTTTTTTGTACTCTCTCGCCATCAGAAACCGCCACGTGGGCACGCCGGCAGTGCTCTGCCTACTTTACGGCAAGCGAGCAAACGATATTACGCAAAAATCACCTTTGTTATTTTTCCAATGTAAATATGAGTAAGCAGCGATTTCTTCTGACAAAAGTTTGTAACAATTGACGTTTCGTTGACTTCTATACAATTAATTTCACGAAGACATGACGGAGAAACTCCTTGAAGTAGTCAGAATTAATGCTTCAGAGATTTGGGCCTAAACTTGCTGCCTTAATGAGAGAAATTTACACTTATTCTTTGTTGCACTTCTGCCTTCGATTGAACGCGATTGATCGATTGAAGTCGACCTTCCATTTGATCATGTGTTTTATTCATTACCTAGAGCATCCGAATCAGCTTCCATTTAGAGCTTCAGCATTGTAACACATCTCTATCATTGCATAATTCAATTCATAATTCATCACAACAAACACCAAAGGATATCGCTTGAATATGATTACAGTCCGTCATAAATGAAAGCACAGAATTGATGAGATGAAAGCAATGGTTTGATGTACAGAAGGGATAACAGGGCGCAGAGACCGAAAACTTATCATGATCAATAACGACTTTATCTATTGTTGAGCGTTTCTCGTTCTAGAAGGGAGCGGCCAACGGTAGCTCATCACCGTCGGTGATGATAGCGGCGATCTGGAATTAGTTGTATTGTTTTCAATCATGCGAACAACGCCCATGCTTCAACTACTTCTCTGAACACAATGTGCACCAAGCCACGAGGTCTTGAAGGCACAGATCAGAACTGCGATACGTTGGTGTCTGGTCCACCAATGGCCTTGACAACCATTCGGACCGTAGTGTTGTACAGTGAAGTTCTCATCCTTGAAACGTTCACCAAAGATAAACTTGCCACCGCTTCCATCACCGCAGGTGAAGTTAGTTCTTTGCATCATGAAATTTCGCCAAAAGGCCGTCGCCAAAACTGATAAAAATGCAACCATTTAGTGGCCTTTAAGACTGATATCAAGGTAAACTTGCTCAGTTACAGTCACGTCAGCTTAGAGTAGATAGTCATGATTAGTGGCACAGAGATTGATGAAGTGCAGAACCGTCTTGAGTGCGATGAAGTATAAACTCTTAGCCCGTAGGCTCAAATACTCCACCACACACGGGACAGTCCCTACACTGCATGCAATCTTTGTGCACCCATGCACGACAACTCGTGCATGACCACCAAAGGATGTCCGCGCCTTCCATAACAGGTTCATCTTCCGGATCCTCTAAAGGCGGCTGCGTGTCATCACATAGAACACAGATGTTCAATTCATCTGCAACTATGTTGCCAGTGTATTCTGCTTCACATTCAGACTGCACATGCTGTGTTTTCTATAACAAAGGAAATTTTGTTGAGATGTGGGAATACCAACTTAAGAAGACCTTGACCATTCGCCTGACTGGAATTTGCTTTGTTAAGACCTTTCGGCCGCGCTTTGGGCACCCTCTTCTTGGTATAAGTACTGGTTTTCGAAGCCCGCCTGGAAAAAAGTTTATTTGTTTGGACTTATAGTTGATTGGTTCTGTACCTGCACCTAACTCTTCATCAACCGCTTGGAGCAGTAAATCTCAATCATTAACTGCCAAAAATAGCTGGGCTTTTAAAAGAAGTTTGCTAAAGATTGATATCCCTAATCTTTTGCATTGTGGGCCGTACCTCTGTTGATACTTTTTTATTCGTTTTAAGTCTAATTTAGGTTTTTTGTTCAATAAGAACAGCTTACCAGTTGGATTTCGCAAGTCTTTACTTTTGATTACTTTTTTTTCATTACTTTTCCTTTCTAGCATCTATTCCTAAAAGTGTTCTTTTCTTTTTCAGGTTTTCTTGCGTGGTTTTGGAACCTTCATTTATGGCCTGGTTAATTTATGTCTGTCTCATTACGTCAGCTGGTGGTTGTGCGTTTAGTGGAGCTCGCTTCCAATCGCTTTATGCTCTCTCTTGCCATCCGTGCGCATTTCCGATTCAATCAGTGCATGTGTTCAACATGTTCTACTCTTTTTCTCTGCTTTGCTAGATTTGTTCTTCTACTAACTTGACTAGACCATGTAGTTATGGGCCCAGCCTGACTGTCAACTTATTACTATTCATACGGCTTGCTGATTTTTACTACGTTGCTCAACCTACTTTCCTGTTTATACTTGGAGCTCAGGACCCTCCCCAGCAAACCGTGTTGGGCGGGGTTTGCCAGTATACCCGCCACCCGAACTTCCGGTTTGCTTTTATGAATTATATAAAGATCGTTCCTTGCTGGCAAACGAGGGGGCATGGGTACTTCTCCATAGAGTCTATGCTAGCACAAGATAACGTGCAGCCGAGATACAAGTCATGCAAGCTTATTATCACATTGTTACTACATTACTTTTCTTAGTAAGTCGTTTAGACTGGGCCTAGGACGACGTGGTGATTTGTTATTTGTTGCTGTTGTGTTCCATGTATGACTAACACTTTATTGTTTTTGATTTGGAACGCCTCGAGCGTATGAATGAAATGAAATGAAATGAAAAATCTCGAGTACGCATTAGCGTGTGGCTATCCGGTTCTCATCCACTGCAAGGCGAGTACTTCACGAAAACGAAAGCCGATCCACGATCTGATGGAAGATACTGTATAAGCTCATATTAAAGGGAAACTTCACTCACCTCTTGTAACTCTGTTACAAGCTCCTTTCGCTTGTCAGTCATGCTCACAACTTCTTCTTCAGAGCCTTCTATTACTGAAACGTCCTCATCGCAGCAGAGAGTATCGAGATTATCGAGGTTTACAGACTCCTCATTATCGCATGCTAACATTTGATTTGATTTATCTCGAAAAAAAGTAAGGCTATGTCCCCTACCATCATAGTTCAGCGCCCAAGCGTGCGCGTGTTTGCAAAATATTCGATTTCACAGCGTCAGCACAAGAACAAGATACGTACATGGGGCACACGCCACACAATGAACAATGCATTTTTTTCTAAATCAGCATTTAGAAGGACAGGAACACAAACGATAACGATAACTGAAACAAACACTCTCGCATTCGCACCGAAGAACTGTGATCATGTAGAGCTTTTCAGGACTTGTAAAAGAGGCTATAGTCCATTCTCCTTTTCTCAAGCGTGTCAGTTGAACGTTTTTCGCTTCCTCTACGGCTCTTTTATGTCTTGCAATATTTTCTTTCGCCCTGAACTTGCCCTCTATGATTCCGCGCTCGTCTTGGACAATGTGTTCTCTTGCTATGGTGGGTATCGCACTAATCAAAATCTGCACCAATTCGTGTGCCCGGCGGTTCGATGATCGATTGAGTAGCGTGTACTTCAAAGTACGATGCCAACGTTCCGAAACCATGGTTGTATTTGCTATGGCTGCAGTTCTGTAGTACGGCGCCCATTTCTCTTGACGACTGAGATAATACCGTCTGAAATAATCGTCAAAATTAGCACACCCTCGATGCTCGCGGCGGTATTCAGCAAGTAAAGTTAGTAGCATGCATTTGGCTTTATGTCACTCCACCTTGTTTGACTGTGTAAGCATTGTTTTGATCCATCCTAAAGCAAAACATAGATATTTGTTAGAAAATGCACTAATAATCCAACCTCCAAGCTTCCGCCGTCTTTCGTCGTTCTTCCCTCCGAAGAAAGAGCTTAATTTATCGAAAATAGCTTTTTGACAATGCCATGAGCACAGGAGCTTAGTTGTATTAGCCTTCGGAAAAACAGCTCGGAACCCGTTCCAGAAACTCATAGTATCATCAGAAAGAAAAAAACGTGGCTCAAAACTGTTATCCACGAGTTTCACCTCCTCGAACAGCAAACCGCTCTCTTCTTTGCCCATCTTATTGGCTAAGAGAAATGCAGCTGGTAGACTACGTCCGTAGTTGTCTACCACCATCATCGTAGCAAGCTTCAACTCATATCTGGTGGTGCAGTGCTGTCGTCTATGGAGACACCGCGATAGCTGTACCTTTTGATCAATTCAGTTTGATCCGGGGTGATGATGATGATGCGAAAACTGGCTCCATTGCTTGGTGTCGGCGCTTCGAACCTCCGGAATCCATCTTCCTGTACAGCCAATTTGTATCTCAAGGAGAGTGACTGCATGTCGTCCTCATGAAGGCGTCCAGGCTGCCCAAAGACTTTTCCTCGCATTTCGTGCGTCGGCGGCTGACGTCCAGTACAAACGGTGGTTTGCGTCTGTGTACTGCTCCCGGATTATCCTTAATACCATAGGGACATCCAGTCCCAAGTTTAGGTAATGCCTGATAGCCTGTCTATCAGCTTCGGTTAGTGGTAGGAGCGCAGCAGAAACATTATGTCCTACATGCTCTCCGCAGAACTTTACGCTAACCTCACCGTTGTGAAAAATCTTTGCCTGAATAAGAAGTTCGAAAGGTTTTGTAAGAAATTACATCAATTACCTAAAGGAATGACGTGGAGTATCTGTTACTACCTTCGATTTGCCCCCTTTACTTCGCAATACGCCAGATCTTAAAAAACCAGAGTAGTGAGTGAGCTCCAACGACTTTTATTTACCTATTACAGATGTAATGTGTTGTTTTGTACTCATTGAAAGTAGATGTGCCGTTATTCTTCCATTTTATGATTCTGTGTTTCTCGTATTCTGCTTTCCAACACTAAAAACTGTGATGTAGAAATAAAGTTACAAAGCTTCCTCCTCTCATTACCTCATATTCGCTTTTGTTTGCAAACGTCTTTGTTTCTATAGCACAACCCTCCCTCCCATGTGCTTCCCTACAGTGATCATTTAGAGCGACCTGGACCGGCACAGCACTCTGGCAAACGGGACATGCCCAAAGCCTCGTAGTTCTGCTTTCAGGGTGCACTCTTTTGATGTGCTTCGTCAGCGCCTCCTTGCTCGTCCCCTTATAAACGCATCCTTCTTCGGTACAATCAATAGTTTTCTCGACATTTGAGCTTTTTTGCACGAAAACAGTGTGGGCATCAGCATTGTGCTCTTCTCTCAAATGCGCGGTTATAGAGCAGTAGGTATTAGACTTCGCGCAAAGCGGACAACGTTGCTTCTTTGCACCCGGTCGAGCAACCTAAAACCTCGCAAGATCATCTCACATATGAGGACGTTTTGAAAAATCCGCCGTTTTATTATCAAGGAAATTCGTACTTCTTGCTACATACCTTTCGATTCCCTGATTCCTTGTCTGTTTGCATGTGAATAAAGTGTAACTACCTCTAAATGTCACTTCGACTCCGTTTGAATTCAAGCATGTTATCCCTGGTATCTGAAAGAAAGGAAAAGTGTAAAAATTTGACACGAAAAATCATTCACAGAAAGCCAAAAAATGGTTTCAGCGGTTCCCCATCTGCCAATGTTCGCAATAATGCGAGAAACGCTGCACTATCAAGCAAGATACAGTAGAAATTATTGCCACTTATTGACTACGCTGAAGACAGGGTGTAATTCTTTTGTCTTTCTCATGTCTCACAACGTTATCGGTACCGTAACATTGTTTAATATATTGCAGTTGTAAAACTGGCGGCAAACATCCACACTTAACAACCGATTTCTGGTAGTTTGTATTTAGTTCTAAAATGCGTACACATTTGCAAAATGCATCGATATCGGTTTGTGACGCAACACAAAGACGAAGCGATGACTTGACAATGACTTAACTATATGACACGCTCAAATATGGAGACTGAGTGAGTTGTGGTCATCCTAACGAAGGAAATCATAATGTTCTTCTTTTACAAAATTGTCGACGCACAACTTATGGGCATTGCGCGTATCAAAAAGCAATATATCAAGCCTTAGCAGCATCTAGACGAATCTAATCTAATATCTGGGTATGCTTTTACACGGTTACTGTCATATTAATCAATTCCTCAAGCGACACTCATATGGTTTATTCGTGGCCAAATACCATAGAGTGCTCTGATTGCTCTGAAAGAGTACGATAGGGCAAGAGTTCAAAGCTGAAGATCTAGGACACGAATGATATACGATGGGGAGTTACTGCCAAGTCCTCATAATGATTCTTCGCATAAGTATTCAAAAGTTTTACTGAACATAGCCCATAGGTCTTCATCGGAAAAAATTTCAATTTACTTCACTGTTTACGACTGGAAGTTCCATAAGACTGGATGGAATCAATCAGAACGGAATCAACCTACCTCTAAACTGCCACTTCGACTCCGTTTAACATTCGAGTATGTTATCTCCGGTATCTGGAAGAAAGGAAAATCGTGAAATTTGACACTTGACACAAACAATCATTCACAGTAAGCCTAAAAATGGTTTCCCCGGTGAGCAGCTGGCTTGTTGCCAACTCATTCCAACTTTTGTGGGTCCCGCAGCGCGCCCGGGGTACGGTAGCTAGTGCCACCGTCCGGATCCGATATATAATGGTTTATGTTGCGGTCGCCCCTTAGCCACCCGTCAGATCTTCTAGCAAGAGTATCGGGATTTTTTGCAAATCAAGATTCTTACCGGGGTTGCACATCTCTGTGATTTCTACAGTATATCTAAATGCCATCAACTAATCAAAGCCTTCATGCCAGAAGTAATGCGTAACCTTTTAGGCACTTTCAAGCTCTCCTACCAGATATTAATTTAGTCACAGCGATATTCCATACAGCTGATCAAATATCTTTCCACTTCAAAAATTGCATCAAAGGTGACACAAACTACAAACAAACCCCTCAAAACTTTCGTGCCAAAAGTATCGCTATGTCTCTCATCAAAAATCCTTAAAACTGATCGATCTACCGCTACTCAGAGTTCAAGGCTTCCTCGCTAGGAGCAAGGCTCCTTAGTAATCCCAAGCTTTTATATCAGGTTAAGGCCATATGCAAGACCGTGACCATTTCATGCAGCCAACAAGCAGACTTCATTTCGCACCACAAAAGCCTTAATGCCAAAGCAAAATCAATCACGTAAGTGCGAAGCCCTAAAAAACGTCTCTTTGACAGCTATATAATCACATTGCGAGGGTTTTTTCCATTTCAAAGTCAAATCTCGGAGTTGACACGAAACCCCTTATGGATCGTTGTAGAGTTTTTCACCAGAAATACTGCAATCTCTTTCACACACCTAGACTATCATAAAGTGTGACACTTGCTTCTACTTTATAGGGATCTCTTGCCAAAAACTATGCAATGGCACGAATACACACAAATTCGGAATGACCGCAATTTCTCTTGCAAAGCTAAATTACCAAGTACTGAAACGGTTTTCTCACAGCTGTCGCGTACAATGTATCCACATCGTCCATGATTGCACAATGATTTTTTTTTAGGGTCATTTGCTGAGTAGCGATAAGTTGAAGCGCAGACCATAGAGAGAGATGTTTGCAACTTTGCCTAATAAACCACTCAGTGATTACAGAAACATTTATGAATATGAACGGGAGACTAATAAGCGTTACTTTAGGCCTGAAGGGCCGGGCATACTTCACGCGATTTCAGTCGCGACGCGATTTGGCAATTCGCCAGAAGTCTTCAGGTCCAACACTGGTGAACTGCACATGCATAGTGTATGACCTACGTGGAGTGATGAGATGCCCTATCTTCTGTACATTTAAAATATCCTTACAGAGGATATGGACAGTTGGAATATTGCCAAATCGCGTCGCGACTGAAATCGCGTGAAGTACGCCCGGCCCTTAAGGCATACCTTACGTGATTGCAGTCCTGCGCGATCGGCACTGCAGCAACATTTCATAATTATTCATAAACGCACTTTGCTTGGACCAGAACTGTTACTTTTGCGGAGACTCACAAAAGCAACGCGCCTATGCATTTGACACTAGCGCACGATTGATCTGTAGACATTTGGCAAAACGTCAAGTCGCGTCGATGCAGCGATTTGGCGGAATCTAGTATGCCTTAGGCCTTACGAAATACATTATGCCGGAAAAGTCTATTTTCAGTCCTTCCTAAGTTAGTTTCCGAGAAAAAAGTTGAGAAGATTCGAGGCGTCAAACAAGTATAAGTTACCTCTGTACGAGTAACACATGTCTCACGGCTCGGTCTCCGCCCGCTCGGGTTGCATGGGCTACTCATTGTCATTGTTTTGTGGTTTGCTCTAACGAACCTAACTGAGCAGTTAACTCCACTGCTTATTATTGAGCGAAAAGTTTTGCACAAGACAGAAAGCACAACTTCCTTAAACACAAAGTGTACATGCTTCGGCTATGATAGCACTCTAAAATATGACAGCCCAGATGGCTCTAGCTTCTTTGCAAGTCAACGATTATAACCCCATTATCACTTTAGATGTTTTATGGACAGTCACCCCTACATGTCACAGCTTCTTTAGCGAAGAAGCTATCAACAAAAGTAAAAAGTCGACTGCTAAGCCGATTGTTTTACAAATAACTATATTGTATCAGACAAAGATTGTCAGTCTCAGCTTTATAAACAGCCAGCTGATAATCTACTAGCAGATTTCAAATTTTCTAACGTCTTCATCTGGTTGGAAAAGGTTCCTCCAACAGCCTAGCTGACCGTTCCAAATGTAATAAGATTTTAACAATAAAACATTTGTGATCTAGTACCTTAACTCTCGTACTCCACTCTCGTACTCTTTTTCTAGTTGTTTGGAATACTCGCATATAATCAATATGAAATGTGCAAAACTGAAGAACTCGCATAGATTTCTCCATTACGGTCATCGAATGAGGATGATCAAACTACTATGTATTGAATCCGGTTGCTTTGCTTTTTGAAAAATTCGAAAAATTTTGAGAAAAAAGTTTATTGATTGGCTTTCTCATAAGCGAGGAAACCTATCCATTGTGAAAAATTCAGTTTATGGCGTTTTCAAGTTTATGTACTCTTTATTTTGGAGCTGCATTTATTTAGATTCCAATGTTTTATTTAGATGCTTTCGATAACAAAAACCTAGTTTTTTCCCTTCCACCGAATCTTCAAATTTTTTTCATTTGTTATGCCTAGAACATTTTCGTGGAAAGTAATGATACAGATAAATAGGTCAAATTTTAAAAACTGCATTATTTCTTTCAACCCGATATCTCTCTATCACGCGTATAGTCCTTGACCTGACACGGGGCTCAGCACTTCCTAGGCTTATAGTTAGTGTACCTAATTCAGAGTCGATCTCCCTTTTTCAGATTTGTAGCTTCCCGCTATTTTGTGCCAAACAAGCTTTGACATATTTGAACTTCTAAACGCTCACAAGTTTTTTCCGGAGAGTTGCTTTTCAATAAAAAAGAAAGATATACGTCCAAAGCATGTTTAAAAATATACACATACATTTTATCTTCACCAAAGTAAGTTGGTATGCATCCCTTGTAAGAAGTTGGATATTGTGTTTTTCTTTCAATTTTTCGAGAACGACAACTTGGAATTCTTGGAAGAATACTTTTACGAATCACTTTCTATTGACTACAATATTTTTTGATAGAATGTTATATATATATCTTGTTTTGTCGAGGCGGAATTTTTGATTTGATAATGGCCATCATTGCCTCTTCGATGATAGCCGAAAACACAATCTTCGCCCACGTAACAAAAAAGTGCTACCTACTAATCCCTTACCATGATTTGATCCTCTTATCTGTAACACAGTGTACAAATGCCTTTCCCCTTGAGGTGCACACGTTGGCTATTTTCACAAAGCATTCTGCATTGAATTGACGGCTTGATTGATATTGCTCTGAGGCGCTGCAGGTTCAACTTACAAGGAGAGGATACTTAGTCGAAAGCACCAATCCAGATGAGACATATATCATCTTAGAGCGCTTGAAACGCTGTTTCCAAATCTGCAGTTTCCAGCTGCGGAGCGATTAAGTAGAGGGAGTTATGGGGGTGTTTCCTCTGGGGTTGAGGCGCCCTCCACCAGGTCTTCCCCTACCTATGAGCACTGTAGAGGAGTACCAACTGGTGGCAACTGACCTAGTGGTAAGTGACGTGCTTGGTAAAAAGAATGTCAAGGTTTCAATCCCCTTCGCATGCTAAATTAAACTTCTAAATGGCTTTAGAGCCCTAAAGCATGAAACTTCTGATGATATTGATACTAATCGAAGTTAGAAGTGTTGAAAAAAACCAAAGTAATATGAGTATTATAATCTTTACTGTAATCTTCATTCAAGTTACTTACCATTAGGTCAGTTGCCATCAGCTGATACTTTTTTACAGTGCTTACTGATAAGGGGAGATTGCTCGAGGGCGCCTAAACCCTAAAGGGGATCACCCTTCATAACTCCTTCTACAAAACGGTTCCGCAGCTAGAAACTGCAGATTTGGAATCAGCGTTTCAAGCGCTTTAAGATTATGTATGTCTCGCCTGGATTGGTGCTTTCGACTAAGTATCCTCTCCTTGTTAGGCCCGCCTCAGTGAGCTACGATAACGAAAATTCAGCATTATTCTAGAACGTTGCATTAGAGACGTTGCAAACTCAGTTCGTTACCCTTACTTGAAACAATGTAATTAAAGAAGTAAACAGGACGCACCTGCTGATGAAATTGCTGCTCTTTGCACTACTTCCATTGGTCCAAGCTGACATAAGCCCGAACAACTCTAAAGCAGGTTAGTAATATCTTTCCTTCATTCGTACATAAAAAAAGCTTTCAAATCAAAATATTGATTTGTGAAGTCAAAAAAAAAACATTGTTCAACATGCTCTCGCCTGTTTTTGGACCCATTATGGGCATGCTCTTGATCTTCTTTCAAAACATGCTTGAATAAACTTCACCGACGATCTTTACGCAAAGATTAGGTATTTCGGGTTGGGAGCTACAACTGTAAGGAAAGAGACATGCGGCTACCATCAGCTCTTCTTAAGCTTTTGAAAGATACAGTTTACTGAGGAAACATAGAACAAACTAATTTTTTTTTGACTGACGGGCTGTAATTTTTGTTCAACTGGCTTGGCATCATCAGGGCGGGGTTTTGTGGCCTAATTGAGGCCGCTCGCGCCCGCGACGCACCTGCGTTTCTCTCGCGCGAGTGCTCTCTGCTCTCTGATCATTACCTAGCTTTAATTAGGTCACGAAGCCCCGCCTTCCCGAATGCCATGCCATTTGAATCAAATGTTAGAAGGTCCGGGCTGACTGGGAGTTTCAGTTTAAAGCTAGTAAAGACGTAATTATTTTTCATTTTTCACTTTTCTGAAAACAAAGGTGGTTGATTGAGGCTAACGCCGGCTAGCGGCGGCTGCGGACTCCGTAAAAGGCATTTAGCGAGAATCTCTGGTAGAATAGAATAGCATTTCGAGATGAGACACACATATCTGAAGTCAGCTCCGAACGCTCATTTCAAATATGCTGCTCCTAGCCAGGGCTCGGCACGAGCTGGACCAGAGAATTTTCAAAACGAAGTCCCCCTGATTTTCGCTAAATTTTACGCAGTCCCCCTTGACCCTAAACCTAAAAAAACCTTTAAAAACGAAACGTCGACCAAAATAAACGTCGCAACTTGTTGACAAAAACGATATCCCCTTTGCTTTGTCCCAAAAACGGTATCCAGTTTGCCCCGTGCCAGCTGGTGCCAGGCCCTGTTCCTAGCTGCGGCGCACTATCCTGAAGGTAGTTATGAGTTTTTTCTGCGAAATTGCCATATTTTTAACACATTGACGACAACGTGACCCACATGGTGGGTCATGCAATGAGTGTGGTTCTGGAAGTTCTATTATGCTCTATTCCTAGAAACTTCTGCAATTCTTGGCTGCTTCTCAAAATCACTGTAGGGAGACTGCAGATGACGGCCTGCTTGATTTTAGCTAAAAATACTCAATGAGATGTAAAAGACATTGTCCTACAAGGCAAACAGCTAAAAATGCAAGCTGTCGTCAACGTGTTAAATATGGTAATCTGTCTGCGGCCTAAAAGGGTGCTGGGATGCTAATAATATCAGATTGAGTCTTTTGTAATTGACAAGAGACGTTATGCAGACAATCAGCACTTAGGTGATGATACCGATATGCTTGTAGGCCAAAGAGTATGCAAAATTTGTACAGAGGAAAAAGGATAACTCGCTACAGAATGAAGTGACGTAGCTAAGAACGGCATATTCGAATTCGCGTATGAGTCTGCAAATATGTGTCGCATCCGAAACGCAATTATAAGTTACCTGACATCTCTTGTAAGCAGCCTCCACTAGATCATACTGTTTCGTTTGTAAACTTGGTCTATCTTTAAGCTGGCATCAATTCCTGTTCATTACTGTTAACTAAATTACGATAGGAATTATAGTCTAGCACAGTAATGGCGTCAAACTAAATTTCGTTGTAAAGGGTTATCGCAAAACATGCTAAACTTACATCCACTCAACCTACAAGCATGCTAGTCTGTTCACCATCAAATTTGTTGTGACTAGCAACTTAAAAATCTTTTTTTTACTGTCGCGCGAGTTTCCTTGTTGAAACATACAGATGGCTTGTTCACCGCGCACAGTTCATTATAGGATACCATATTTGGGTAAGGCATTCAATACTTTTGAAAACATTAATATGCGAAAATTTTCGGAAACCTATCGTGCCTCCCGATTTGATGTTTAATATTCACCAGGCCTCAATTCAGTTGGTTCGAAGTATAGATATCGTGGGAAGTTTACATAATTTTTGAATACATCCCAAAATTTACTGCACGCTTTGAAATCAACATGTAAAAAGCTGAACCAAATCATTGCCCCTCCCCCTCCTGATCATGAAAAGTTCGAGATAAACTTCGATGAATATTGCGCCTTGGTGAGAGTGTCTGGTACCAGTCACCCGTCAAAGCTGGCGTCTACAGGACCCGGTACTTGTTGGATTTGAGCATTTTTGAAAACAAAGTCCTTTATGACTAAGCACAATTATTCCAAGTCTGTGTTTCATTTTGCCGAGCAGGTTTGAGTGGATTTTTATTCGACCCAACGTTTCGGCGTACATTCGACTTCCTCAGAGGTCTCGACAATACCGCATACCGGTAGATCCGCAAAGTAAGGAAGTGGGTCCGTGAAGTGACTGTCTCCAAGCTATTTTTGTTTCTTAATCTGAAAATGCGAAAAAATTCAGCGAATTTATAGGAGTATTACTTTCACCGTATGGTAACCAAGTTGTAAATATGGAGGAAATTTTTAGAAGGAGATCCGACTTCTACGGTAGTTTAAAAACTTTAGTTTTTGGCTCCTATTGGGTACCCGGATTACGACTTATTGCTGGGTGAAGCATTAGGATCATTTTGTAGAGCTTGCCTTTGCTCTATGCAGTAGCATTCCAAGTTGCTAAAACAAAAGATTTTTACGCAATCTAATAGACTGTGCTTTATCGCTCAATTCCCTCTTTCATAAGTATGATTTACTTTGTAAACTCGCTTTGCTAAGCAAAACATAGCCAATCAGTGCTGTTATGTTACGTGCCATGATCTTATCTGTCAAATTTTACCTTTTAGCATGTCCCGATCGTTGCAGTGATGGATGGACCTATTTTATCGAAACGCATGCTTGCTACAAGGTATGTGGTTAAATGAAATAAGAATATATAACATAATAAAAAATTTATAATTTTGACCAAAGACCTTACACAATTACAAACACAAGCTCATCTATCTATTTCTTGCCTTCTTAGAAAGCTTCAGAGGACCTTCAAGAAAATTTCTATACGACTTTGCCTCATAGCAATTTTATATATCATAGCGGTAAACCTGAATGAACTGAAAATATTTTTTGATTGGGCAATATTCTGCTCATACAAACATTCATGTTTCTTAAAATGATTGGGACTCAATGGCTTGAGCGGCTAAAATACATTTAACTATGTTCACCTTCAACGCATCTCAACTTCAAAAGGATATTGTCATCACGCATGCTTTTCACAAGACTACATCGTGGTTATGACATCTCCGATTTCAAATTTACAAGAATGGCATCAGAAGCATTGTCCGGGTTTTCAAAATAATCCCAAAAGGTGATTTTCAGGGATTCACGGTTTTTGACTGCCATATTTGTAACCAGCGCCATGAAAAGGCCTGGATAACATAAAAATCTAAGTTGAGAATCTGCCTGCACGCTGTCTTGAAAAAGTCCCAACGAAAATCGAGAAATATATTTAATTGGACATGTTAAGAGCGATGGGTTTGAGCTTCGGCTTTTTAGCTATGAACCCCGCGTAGATCAATGTTGTTGCAAGTGCTTGGATACCACATTGTAAAGCTTACTTGCTTACTTTGCCTTATCGGGGTGCCACGAATTCTGGAACTTCAAAATGTGACTTTTTGCACTTTGAACTATTTTGGTGCAAGAACTATGTCACAATTAAATAATTACGACTTCCATCTTACTTTTTCCCTTTTTTTTTCTCCTACAATAGCGTCACACACTCATTAACGCCACTCAAGCAAGAGATCGGTGTTTATCAATAACGAAAATGACTTCACAGAATTTCTTCAATGCCAACTTCGAAGAGGCTGAATCTTGGTGCAGCTTTAATGGAGGACATCTGGCCTCAATTCACCACGCTAAAGAAAATTGGTTTGTTGCCGGTACAGTCCTCTTGATTTCATATAAAAGTGAGATACCAACACTTTTGAATTTCGGTTTAGAGTTGGCGAAAATGGGTAAAAAATGCAGTGATATTCACGACATGACTTGGATAGGCTTACGCGAAGGTCCGGAAAAAGATAAGTGGACATGGACTGACGGAACCAAACTTGACTACAATTCTTGGGCTTCGAATTCGCCTGATCCTAAATGGAAAGAAGGCAAACGCTGCGTGCTGGTATGATTTTTGTAAACAAAAAATTATACAGGGTGTCCCAAAAAAATGTAAACAGTGTTTGATCGTTAATAACTCGCTTTCCTTCATGTATTTCGCCGAGCTTGAAGCACCATTCTGTAGAGCGAGGTTCAGCTTAGATTTAAGTAGGGAGCGGATCAAAGATCTCTCTTCGTTACTGTAGAATTACGGTAAGAACTTCTTGCTTGTGGAACCATTATGAAATAAGCCATCTGACAAATATTCATTAAAAAACCGGAAAAGTCGTGCACTAGGGTTTTCGCGCACTCTGATTCCACTACAAAACTTTTTACGAGTATTTTCAGCTTTTTTGACGGTGTAATCACATTTCTGACAACTCAGCTAATACGGTCCACTTGGGATAACTTTGGAAAGAAGCATCACTGTAGAATGGAAATTTCATATTTAAAATCAGCGGCTTCCATTACCTTAGTGTAAGAGTTTTTGGCTTGTTTGGTTTTGTTCCGAAGCAGAATATGGCCTACAAAGGCCTAAAATTCTTGTCGAAGTTCCTACCGTAATCCTACAGTAATAAGTGATCGATGATGCGATTCATACTGTATATCTAAGTTGAACCTCGCTGTACATAATGGTGTCTCAAACTCGGCGAAAGAAGTGGAAGCAAGGAACTTATCAACGATCAAACAGGGTTCACATTTTTTTGGGACACCCTGTATATATGGCCAGCCTCATGATTGTTCCTCGATACGTAATTATTTCCTGTAGACGGAAACGAAAGTTGCCTTATGCCACTACTTTGAAATCTAGGTCGAGATTTCTTTCGTGCGCTTTGTTTTGGGTGGTCGGAGTCGCTTAACACAACGTTGGAAGCATAGTAGCATTTGATAGATTTAAGCTCAGCACATGGTCAGAAAGTGATCTGTAATGCGCTGCGTATGCGTAACTTAACCTTCATAATTGGTTATGTTGAGGTGCCAGGTAAACGGAAGATAAGCTTCATTTTGCAAGTCAATTATATTAAGTTGTAAGAAAAGTTTGCCAATTGCCAATTCTTCTCTTGGTTACCAAATTGAATGCGAATGCAAGAAGCTGGTTGGGCGTGTGTTCTTACAAGGGAAGTTCGCTTAGTCGAAGTGGCGATTCGGAAGGAGATCTATGCCAATGAATAGAGCTTAAAAGCTGATCTCAGTTATATCTTCCATATCTGATGCATTGTTCTGAAAAAAGTTATGAGCTTTTCTAAAGTCAAATTTTCGTGCATTTTGAATCGCAAAATCTGATAATCCTTGCACAAAAGTGTGCAAACTTAAGCAAACCATCTAATAAGTTTTGTGAGTCTGATTCAAGTTCATCCGAACGTTCTCGAGTGTTTTCCGACCATGTCGTTCATCCACAGGTCGTCATTTTATTCCTAGATCACATTTCCATCTTATATATAAAGCTGAATGTCTGTTTGTATGTATGTATGTCTGTCTGTCTGTCTGTATGTACGTATGTTCCGAATAGAAAATTCCATTTCTGAATCGATCTGGACCAAACTTGGCACACATACACTTAGGGCCCCGGCGGGTGTCATAGGCTACTTTTCGTATCGATCGATATCGATTTTGTCGGTTTTTTGCAAAATTTGAGCTACGGGGCTGGGAGTTGGCACAGGGGGGTAAGTGAGCATGGGGATTCCGAATACAATATTAGTTTTTAAAAATCGTGCATTACTTTTATCGATTTTATCAATTTTTTTTGCAAAGTTTGAGCTACGGGGCTGGGATTTGGCACAGGAGGGGTAATCGAGCATGCTGATCACCCCCGTGGGGGTGATCAGCGCGATGGCGATGGCCCCAGCTACCAAACACGCTATTTAGCTTAAGAAAATAACGATAAAGAAAAATAGAAACCCAAAAAAGTAGATAAATCCATTGTCCTCAATTTTGCGAAAAGGCACATGTTCAGATTATAGGCGCGGAGAACTTGCAGAAGCTTGATTGTTAATCCATTTTATACCCTTTGTATTGTTCAGATGAAGTGGTATCCGACCATTACTTGCTCCGATACCTGGACCTTCTTCCAAGCAATTTATCTTATATATAAAGCTGATTGTCTGTTTGTCTGTCTGTCTGTCTGTCTGTCTGTCTGTCTGTCTGTCTGTCTGTCTGTCTGTCTGTCTGTATGTCTGTCTGTGTGTACGTATGTTCCGAATAGAAAATTCCATTTCTGAACCGATCGGGACCAAACTTGGCACACATACCCTTCGGGCCCCGGCGGGTGTCATAGGCTACTTTTCGTATCGATCGATATCGATTTTATCGATTTTTTGCAAAATTTGAGCTACGGGGCTGGGAGTTGGCACAGGGGGGTAAGTGAGCATGGGGATTCCGAATACAGTATTAGTTTTTAAAATTGTGCATTACTTTTATCGATTTTATCGATTTTTTTGCAAAGTTTGAGCTACGGGGCTGGGATTTGGCACAGGGGGGTAATCGAGCATGCTGATCACCGCCGTGGGGGTGATCAGCATGCTCGATTACACCCCTCTGCCAACTCCCAGCCCCGTAGCTCAAATTTTGCAAAAAATCGATAAAATCGACATCGATCGATAACGAAAAGTGGACTGTGACACCCGCCGGCGCCCGAAGGGTATGTGTGCCAAGTTTGGTCCGGATCGGTTAAGAAATGGAATTTTCTATTCGGAACATACGGCGGAGCCGGGTAAGCCAGCTAGTAGCTTATTAAACCCAGGGTATGAAAAACTGAACTCTCCACCTGTTTTGAAGCGTAGTCAGCGCTCTTTAAAAAAAAAGGACTTAAGATGTACCTAATCGGGTTTAAGGTAGTCAGTACAAATAATCAAATATCGTTCATTGACAGCCACTCGTGATGAAGATATAAATAAATACAGCTCAACCTCTATTGGCAAAACTTTCTTTACAACCTATTACCTATTTTTTACCGCATCGATGTTTCTCATGATTCGCATTTTCCTCCAATCTATCTCTAGTGTTGTCTTCTCCAACTTCCGTTCAACTCGTTCAACGGCTCTTCGGCTTTATCAAGGACAAAAACATCAAGGACAATAACCAGGTAGTGGTCCCAATTTTGAATTTTCTTTGGTTTTTTTTCAGAAAATAACTTCCAATTACCTTTTTCAAGCCAAATTTCTTCCGTAGAAACTAAGACATCCCAACAAAGCTATCGGGATAAAATGGATGCTCTTTGTTATCCTCTATGCATCGGGCTTGTGCTTTGAGTTTCTTGCTAAAAATGGCTCTTGACAGTGCGTGCACATGACCTTACTTGCACCTCACCAGTGACTTGCATCGCTTTGCAGGCTTGTAGCTGCGCTGGCGGTCATTCTACGGGCCTGCAAGTAGGCTCATTCGAGCGTGACCTCCTTGACATAATGTATCTGCGATTTTACGGATGGGGTGGAAAAGCACAGCTCCAGTGATAGGCTAAGGATTTTTCAGCTGGAGATGAACAGAGCTCCTTTCGCTACCAGTTCCATCCTACAAGTTCGAAAGTGTCAATTTTCTTGTAATAGGTCCACTTTGAAGCTCTAACCAGGGAAGGATGAATGGTCGAAGTGACCTTTTGAGATGAGTTGTATAACATGGTCGAGGGCATAAAACTAGTTTCAAATCTGTCTTCCTATCTGCGGCGCGTTCCGGAGGAGGAGTTATGAGCGTTTAAGGAAGCAAAAAATGAATGTTTTTTTAGGGACGAAACAGTTGCTGGAATTGTTTCAGAGCTTGAATGAGACAACCAGAGTGTGGATATATCCACGCCTAAGACCACTGGTCCATTAAGTGCTAAGAATAATCTTACTACTGTTTTTATGTTCTTCGTACATTCAATTTTTTTTACAATAAACGCTCATAACTTCTCGTGCAAGAACGCGCCGCAGATAAGGAAAACAATTTGGAATGAGCGTTTTATACCCTCGAATATGTATATAATTCATCGCAAAAGGCCACTTCGACTGACCATCCTTCCTTTGTAAGACTGTTCTGGGGCGGTATCTATCAATCTCCTGTATGGGAAGGGGTTCCCGTACAAATAACAGCCCGTAAAGGCGCGGGCACTGGCGCCCGCTATATATGAATCCAAGCTGGTGACCGGGCACCTGTCTATTGAAAAATATGATCCGATCTGGCAAGTTTGGCCATGTCGGGCACGGCAGTCGGGTAGCAGTTCCCCATCTCGACGAGTCGCTGCCGTTTGAGGCGCGCTACCCAAACTTTCATAAATCGCGGGAAGGGCGCTCTCGCCAGTGCGGGCTCTCGTCAACAATGGCCCGCACAGCGAGTAGGAGATTGATAGATACCGCCCCTAAACAGATGAGTAAAAGCTCTTAATTCCCTGATGGGAATTAAGAGCTTTTACTTCAATCACCTTTGAAGCTGCAATTTTCACCCTCCCTAAAATCTCAGAGATTTATCAAACTCAAATGCTTTGCACACCGTCGTGTCGAGAAAGTCACGCTCTTTCGAATGAGTTTACCTGCAGGCTTGCAGAATGACTGCCAGCCAAGCTACAAGCCTGCAAAGCGATGCAAGTCACTGGTGAGGTGCAGGTGGGGTCATGTGCACGCACTGTCAAGAGCCATTTTCAGCAAAGAAACTCACCAGCGCACGTCGGATGCATAGAATATGTCAAAAAGCATCCATTTTATCCGAATAGCTTTGTTGGAATGTCTTAAATGAGTTTAGATGTGAAGAAATTTGGCTCAAAAAGGGGAATTACAAGTTATTTTTGAAAAAAAAGCAAAATAAAATTCAAGCTTGGGTTTTTTGGAAGTAACCACTAACCGATTGTTGTTCTTGATGAGCTCTACAACATAGTATGCTAACCTGTTCGGAAAACTTCTGTTTTTGCTCCAAGAGAAGGCCTAAAAGAAATTTTTCGCATTCGAAGAATTAATGTCCGCGACATTGTGACGCGGCCATTTTCGAACTTTTTTTAGGAAAAGATTTTTAAGATTTTTATAATAAACATTTTCCAGAAAGCGCAATGTGTGAGTTGTAGCTCTTGAAGAGCTCTATCACCTAATGCAGTTCAATCATTTTTTCATCTTTGTTTTCCATCCGAAAATGAGTGATGAAAAAAAAAGAAGGCGGCTTGTCCGCAACTTTTTGGCGGTCACTTACATAACGCTGCTTGCGGCGCTTAGGGGAATTTTGTGCTGACCTTGCGTCGTACTGCAAACGGGTTTTGGGCGGCGCATGCTTAACATCTCTGCCGGGGAGGGGATAGCAGTCCAAAGGTACCGTCCACTCTAAGTTGAAGGTCTTTAGCTTTTGGCAGCATATGACAGTAGGGAATCCTATCAAGCTAATGCCCAAGTCGAGGCGCAAAATGTCGCTTAGGAAGTGAGAAAGTCTCTCCGGAATAATGAAAATGCAAGAGGACCCTCAGACGGCACCGCCCTCCCCATCCATGCCCGCCCATCCGTGCGCGCCCATCCAATCACCGGATTCCGGAAAGCCGGTCTGTTGGTTCTACGAAACGGGGATTGTCGGGGTTTTCGCGGATTCTTGACTTCATATTCGGAATCAGGGGCATGAGAAGGCCCTGAAACCATAAAAACCTGGAAATCAAGCATCTGGGTGGACGGTGCCTTTTAAGACAGTGTCCGGGCAAAAACTCGATTTTGAGATTTTGTGCTTACCAGGGCCTAATCACTATGCTGAACGCGAAAATCCACCCTGGAGAGCGCGAAAACGGCGAAAAAGGTCTCCAACGCAGACGGGAAATCGTAAGTGGGCGGGGCTGCTCACACTGTAACGACACTCTTCCGGCTTCAGGAGCAATCTTCTCGCTTTCGCTAATCGCCCTAACATCGCCACCAGCCAGCTGCGAAACGCATGACAAAGAATCGGAACCGAGAAGATTGCTCCTGAAGCTGGAAGGTGTCGTCGCAGTGCGAACGGCCCCGCCCACCTGAGATTTCGCTCCTATGTTAGATTTTTCGCCCTTTTCGCGCACTCCGGTGTGGATTTTCGGATTCAGCATAGCGAATAGGCCCGGATAAGCACAAATTCTCAAAACCGAGTTTTGCCTCCCCCCCCCCCCCACTGCCTTTAAGGGAAACATGCTTTAACATCTCCGCCGGGGAGTAATCGCAGCTCAAAAGAAAGCTTTATATCCTGAAGCACCGCACATCTGGATTTCACGCTGTCTACCTATTCGTAAGTATTCCTACCGCCCTCCAATATATATAGAGTCGAAGCGAGGCTTTGTATAATCCCCTGATGATCCCGGGTAATTTCTTCAAAAGCGTTCTTCTTTTTTCGAAGTCAACGATAGCCTTTTGAAGTTGCACTGATTATCTACCTTGCTAAGCGTGTTGATAAGAACAAATGAGTTTTTGAAAATCGAATTTTTCGATAAATCCCAAGTTTTGACCTGTGGTTCATCGCAAATTTCATGAATCCAATACATGTTTTTATCGGAAAAGTGCTTAGCACTCTTCGGTTAGATCACCTGTAAAAAATTGGCATGTTTTTATTACCTTCAAAGAAATGAAGATCGACCGCGGGGGATCATCAAGGGATCAAAAAGGCTGGAAAATGAGGCTTGTACAACTTCTCGCTCCTCTTCAATATTTCATAGTGGAGGATGGTAGGAATACGATAGGTAGACAGCGTAAAATTTAGTGTTTGGTACTTCAGGATATGAAGCTTTCTCTTTAGCTGCGATCCCCTTCCCGAAGGAATGTAAATGCATGCGCCCATAAGATTCGAACTGGGATAGCTCGATTTGCAGTTCGACCGTTTTCGGTAGTTGTCTTAGCTTGCAATCCTCCGCTCTCTCGAGCCTCAAATCTTAATTGAATTGGAAGACCTTAAACGAGTGTTACATTTCAGCTGAGCAGTGACACGTATGTCGACTCCTGGACAATAGGATACCAGGAATGGACTGACACTAGGTGCTCTGAGAAAATCAGATCCTTTGTATGCAAGAAAATGCCTTTGCACTAAACCAGCAATTGTGCGCATATATTCTGATAATTACAGTTTTGACTTTATTAGACTGTAAATGAATTTTGGTCTGCTTTGAAAGCTTGACATTACCATGTTACAACAAGTGAACACCATGAACGATCGAATTTTTGCTACCCAATCTCAATAATGGTCCCATTGACAGATCTTGGTACTTCGAAATATAAACTCAAACAAAATTGACTATTGCATGTGATTTCCGTAAATCAAACGTTGATTCAACATTATGAAAACGAGTTCCATTTTCAACGACAAATAAAACATCAAATGAATAATCAACCAAATCACCTTACTCGAGTTCGACACACATATTATGCATTCGACATTCGTCATATTATGCAGTTTCTGTGATGATATGCCATGTCAAAAATGGTCCTATGCTTATCATCAAGCACCTTGAGGATACTTCCACTAAATGATAGCATTAAAAATGCAAATTTAATTGTTGCACGATACGTTTGTTTAAGGTTACCACTCGCAAAAGCTTGTGGAAGATTTTGAAAAAGTAAGGTGCTGGCATGCCCTAAATGCAATAACGCTCATGATTTATGCAAAAAATACGACGCTCATCTGTATTAGGTGACATCACGGTTGCGTGACCATATTTCGCTTCAGAGATGACGGATAAATTCATGAGCATTGTATTATTCAGCTCGATGACTCATCTTCTAATATATGGAGACATAATTGAGGCGGCTAAAGCTCAAGCTTGTTCTTTCTTTCCTGCCAACAAAAAAAGCTTTTTTAGTCGCAAAAGCCTTCGTACATGACACTTAAATCGCTTTGTGCAGCGTTGAAAGATGTTTTTGAACTTGTCTCTTTTTTCTGCAGAACAACTCTCCCAAAGATGGTATGATTGTCCGAAAGTCTAAACTTGCCAAGCCTTGAGCTGCAAAAAATTTGCGGAAAGCTGTACAAAATACCTCGCTATGTTCGTTTCTTGGAGTCAACATACTTAAAGGTATCGTCCAGGCAAATCTGGACATACGTGGTTCTGATGCGGAAAGTAGTTTTGGGGCCCTAACTAACAAGGGAACGGTGTCGAGTCGAAGTGGTCTTTCCAGATGGGACCCATACTGGTTTGAAGAGCATTAATCGGTGATTCCAAATCTGCTTTCCAAATCTGCCAAGCGCCGCTGGACGCCGAGTTATGCTCGTTTTTCTGGTCAAAAAATTGAATGCAAAACTGAAGCAAAATCGCCCAAATTTGCACAAATGGTCCAGTGCCAAGTATCAGAGCTGTTTATGCAATGGATACATTTAATTTAATGCTAATACTTAACATTGCTTTATCTGAGCGCTGGAAAGATTGTAACAATCAATTTTACCTAAATTCTGCATTCATTTTTCGTTCCGACTAACGGTCATAACTCGGCGTCCAGAGGCGCTTGGCAGATTTGGAAGGCAGATTTGGAATCACCGCTTAATACTCTTCAAAGCAGTATGGGTCTCATCTGGAAAGGCCACTTCGACTCGACACGGTTCCCTTGTAAGACACTGCTCAAGGGGCAGCTCAAATGGTGAACTCACAGTCGAGATATTCGCCTCCAAGCTAGACCCCGGAATCGTATTCGCATGGATTCATGGCGCAAACTAATGTGTCGCGCCATGAATCCACGCGAATACGATCCCGGGGTCCAATTTGAAGGCGAATATCTCAACTGTGAGCTCATTATTTGAGCTGCCGCTTGGGCAGTGTTTCGGTTAAAGCTCCAAGATTACCCTCCAACTGAGATCCTTATAGGCCCAGATTTGCTTGAACGCTGCCTTTAAACAAACTTGATGACGCACTTTCAGCTGTTCTTGCACAACTTTTCGATGATTTTGTGTGACAAACGCATGATAAATTTAGACTTTCAAACACTCATAATTTTTCTAAAGAGTTGTTCCGCAGAAAAGCAAAGCAAGATTGGAGTTAGTGTTCAAAGACGCTTTCAGTGATATAGGTGCCATGTGAAAGGCCATTTCGACTAATAAGGTCTTTTGTAAGCTCCATTTACTGCAGAAGCAAGTATTGACATGCATGAGCAAATGTTGAATTGAAGTAGTTACCATTTTTCCATCTACGTCAAACTTGTTCGTTCTGAGCTCTGAGCTTCACTATTTTGGAAAACGTACGATTCTCTCAAAGGAATCCAAAAGTGGTGGAAGACCTAGAGAATAAATGCAATTTTCTCAAATAGAAACTTAGTTGGATGTGCAAGTTCTAATGGATTCTAGTTTATATCAAAACCTTGCGATCGAGATTAATAGATAGACACAGTCGCATGGCGTTATTCATAAGTGTTAGCCTCCTGTGCCAACTCCCAGCCCTGAGACTATACAAAAAATGCGTGGAAATCGATGAAATCGATATCGACCATTGGTGAAAAACAGCTTACGAGTATCAATACTGATTTCATCTATTTCCGCCACTGCTCGAAATGTATGTTAAGTTTGGTCTCGTTCGGTTCAAAATTGAAAATTTCAATTCAAACATACATACGACACACACATACATACAGACATACAGCTTTATTTTTAAGGATGAGTGATTTGAAGAAAAAATAAGCTATAGGTTGCATCAAACCGAAATGGTTGCAAGACCGAGATGGGGTTATGAGAGCGCATCGCAAGAGGAGGAGTGGATCCGCCAGTGCGGAGCCAGTATTCTTTTGTTGTACCTTTTTTGAGCATTCGCTGGATTTCATTGTCCCTGCCTTAAAGGCGACGTCCAGGCAGACCCTCGTCTTCTATTATTTTGCCTTGCACAGGCCTGTTCATGGCGTTGATTCCAAATAGGGCGGGCACTCAAAATGCATATATTCCTCAAAAACCCCCAGTTCGAGACAATTTTATGAGAGCCGTAAATAAGTGCTCTTACTGTTAGTGCCATCCTTATCCAAAGCAAGCATTAGCAGGTAGACGCTAGGTGTTCGACTGTTTTGCCACGCGAAAACACGTCAAGGCCTGAAAGAGTTCGTTCAAACAGGCAGCCCGTTTGAAGGAAACGTCTCAGACAGTCGAAGGGATACCTCCGGCGGGCATATGGCGCGAGTCTGCCGCTTCGGAGCCCTGCCATTTCACGCATTTTTGTGCTCCGGAGCTCTCCCAAAAGTGGCGCACCTCCGAAGCAGAGATTTGCGCATCGCCGAGAGGGGTCCCATTCATTCACCTTGACGTCACAGTGACGTCACAAACAGGACGAATGGGACCCCTCTTCGCGACGCGCAAATCTCTGCTCCGGAGGTGCGCCACTTTTGGGAGAGCCTCGGAGCACAAAAATGCGTGAAAAGGGCTCCGGAGCGCGAAGTGGCAATCCTACGCTGGGAAAAGCCCGCGACCCTGCCACTTCTGCTCCGGAGGTATCCCATCGACCGCCTGAGGTGGTCCTCGAGGCTCATCAATTTGTGCGGCGATTTTCCCCTTTTATAGAGGTTTGGATGTTGGGTTTGCGCAATAGCTCTGGATCGAAACCCTTGTTTCGATTATGATAGTATCCAAGAATGTCCAAATCTGACGCTGCCCTTAACTGTAGCGGTCTTCGCAGATGACGCTTAGTCGGATAGAAGCAAGACATCTACTGATAGATTTTATAATGTTACACTATGTTGAGCGGCATAAGAGGCTAAAATTACCGCAAGTCACTATCTGAAAAGCTATTCAGGAGCTTGCCATAATCAAACCAAGAACTGCAAGTTGCCGTTTTTTGCGTTTTCTGGAAATACAAGAGGCATACCAGATACGAAAAACAAGCAGCTAAGGGAGATTCAAACATTCATGGCGAGACGTATGTCGCGATGCAGTTGGACTGCGTCAGCTGCTTGGAGGCTGGCCTTCAAAACCCTTAAATCTGACAATGTATATACATAACAAAAGCAAACTCGAAAAAGATCAGTACTGGTCAAGCATCAGGAGCAAAGACCATCTGGCCCAAGTAATACTTTTCTTGCTTGTGTCTCGCGCGCAACATCATCGACATGGGTTTCTATGAACTGATGCTGGTTGATACAGCCTATTTATGCCTATATGGCATTATTTTTGGCGTTGCGGTGAATTCAAGGGCTAGTAGGAACACCTATAATAAACTGTGACTAGAAATTACGACAAGCTTTTTCTCAACAGGTTACTACTGATTGAAAGCAAAAAAAATGACTCGCTTGCAGCGCACAGGTAATGGCATGACACCAAATTTGATGTGTATGGCCTAAATCTGCATTAATATGGAATAGTGCGAAGATAACTATTTCAAAATGATTGCACCTTAATGCCAAGCTATTGATGTGGAACCACTCTTTATATACCTTAAAGTTCGCAAAAAAGCAGAAAATCGGGGTCCGAATAGTTACATGAACTTCGTCTGACATACCTACTTCGCAGTATTATCGGTCGTTACTCTAATACCTTGTGCTGTTTCTTTAAACTGGCTTCAACAGTTTGACTGATGGTGAAGAATACCTTTAGCAAAAACTCGGAGTACAAAATACACTACATTATTGGTTTGACGTGCAATTTTTTTGACATCACTGATAGCGCAACGCTTCTCATAAAGCACACAATGACGAGGCGATAGAAGAGTGATAAGTTTTTATAAATTCAGGAAAAGCTAAGTCAAACGATAGCCGTTATTAGTGCTGGCCAAATTTGTGTTCTCATTGCGAAAAATGCCGTGAATCAACCAATTGTTAGCAAAAAGGTTTTTGATTTGAGCACGGTAAATTAGATATTGGTTTACCGTCGATAGTCAAATTTTCTCCCTTTTTATTGCATTTTTCAAAGATTATAAAAATTACTAAAGGAAGCAGGATGAAGGTTGGTCAAATCAATAGCTCCACTCAGATTTTTTACCATTCAAAGTTGCGGCTTCCAAAATTCCTAATTACATATTTAAGAGTGTTGAACAATCGCTCTAATTGAATTGTGTCTTAGGCGTAAGGCATACCTCGCGCGATTTCGATCGCTGCGCAATTCGGCACAACAACGACTCTTCGCAATTCGTCGTTAATGCGCTGCCTTTGGTCAGAACTTGCTCGGTTTGCAACAACATACACAAGCTACCCAAATATGCGTCCGAGAAGTGCGCACGATAAATCTGTACAAATCTGGCAAATCGGCATGTCGCGTGAAAGTGGCGACTCGGCCGAATCGCGTGAGGTATGCCTTAGGCCTTAGGCTCTGAGCATACCTCACGCGATTTCAGTCACGACTCGATTTGACAATATCCATTTGTTTATAACTCATCGTAAGAGGATTTTCGAAGGTAAGAAAGATAAAGCATTTTTTCAACCTGCAAAAGTTATACATGCGTTGCATTTGAGATCTGCCAGTAGAATAGACATGTGGCAATTTGCCTGGCGACTGAAATCGCGTGAGGTATGCCCGCGGCACTATAGTCAAGCGAAAAAAAACTTTTAAATACTTTCATGTTCTTTTCACATAGCCGAAGTTTTAGAAAAGAACTATGCAGGTTTAGAGTCGTTACAAAGGCAGAAACCTTTCCTCTATCCTTTAGATGCTCAATGTCATAGGCCGCTAAATCGAACCTAGCAGCGACCTGCAAATCTGCCAACGTAACTTAGATTAGCCTTCCCAAAAAACGTATAAAGGGTGTCCGCAAAGTATGTGTACATCGATCGTCGATGTTTGATCGTTAATATCTCTTTTCCCAAGAAGTCTTTTGCCTTGCTTTAAAGACCATTCCGTAGAGCTGGCTTCAGCATAGATTTGCAGTATGCAGCAAATCACTGGTCACTATTCAGTGCTGTAGGATTACGGTAGCAACTTGAAACACATGGTGTCAATGTGGAAAAATCTGCCGTTTCAAAAATTTTCAAAAAAAAATGAAAACTTGTGTAATAAGGTTTCTATGGACACTGAGGTTAATTCTCGATTATCCACAAGACTGCGAAGCTTTTTAAACGGTGTATCGCACTTTTTAGTAACATTGAAAAAAATGGCCGCTACTGCTTACCTGACATAACTCTTCAATGAAGCATCATAATAAATTGGGAACTTTACATTTAAAATCAGCAACTCTAATTAGCCTAGTGTAAAGGTTTTCAGGCTTTCTTTTTCCTTTCTGAGACAAAATATCACCTTTCATGGCTCAAAACCCTCTTTGAAGTTTCCACCGTATTCCTACAGTGATGAAGAGAGAAGGGTGATTCGCTTCATACTGTGAATCTAAGTTGAAGCCAGCTCTGCAAAACGGTACCTAAAGTAAGGCAAAAGATTTGTGAAGAAAGATATTAACGATCAAGCAGTGCATACATACTTTACGGACATCCTGTATTCGTCCTTAGAAAGACTATTTTGACAATTGGTTTCCCGTCCTTTGTGAGGAGGAAGTTCAGCTTTGAAACTCCTTGATGTCCTTGTGGGCTCTCACAGTTGGACACTTAGCTGCGAAGCAGGTTTGTGGATGCCCATGCGATCATAGCATAGGTTTCTTTTCGTTTGAACGATGCGCTGACTCTATCCCTTTCACGAGACTGCAAAAAGAGTTTCAGTCATATTTCTGATTTCTAATTCTCACAAGGGAATGGTCAGAAGTCGAAGTGGCCAATACATACAAGCTGCATACCATTAGATGCAGCATAAAACGCTGACTCTAAATCTCTCTTTCTTTTCTACAGAGAAAAGAAAGAGAGATTTTCTTTTGTGGACGAAATTATAAGCCTTGAAGGGCATTATTTTGCTAAAAAAAATTGTGCATGTAAAATGCAAACTTAGCCATACAAACCCATTCTGGCTCAGTGTGAGACCAAAACATGCAACTAGGTCACATCATATGGCCCGTACTTAAAGGTGAGCTGAAAGAGCAATAATATGCTTAATTTCGCAAATTTTGTATACGGTTTTTTCGCAGTAAAGCTGCTCATAACTTCGCCTGCAAAGGCGCTCTGCAGATATGGAAGACAGATTTGAAATCAGCATTTTATGCTGCATCGAATGGTATGCAGCTTGTATGGATTGGCCACTTCGACTTCTGACCATTTCCTTGTCAGATATGCCTAAATCTATGATTTGATACAAGACATTTGATACATCCTAGAAAACAAGGAGACCCAGTTCAGTGACTCAGAATAAATTTCAAAAACATCTATTTTGGCAAGTACAGGAATAGAAAAGGGTGTGAGAATTTCAGGGTGGATTTGTAATTTTGAGTAGCTTTCAATCCTGCTGACTCTAAGCTATTCTACTCTTTTGAAAAAAAAACAAAATAAATTGCAAAATTTGAGTCAGAAAGCGGATATCTAAGGAACTAAACCATCTTGATTATTTTCATCACAGTTGCATATACTATTAAAATTATAAGTCGCTCTCATAGCTTTTTTTTTGTAAGTTTGAGCTGGGAAATAGGACAGGAAAGGGTGGGGCGAAGGAGAAAATAAGTGATGATGATAAAACGAAAATCAAGCGTTTATGCATCATTGCTAACATGAAAACCGTCAATTTTTTCATCTCTGTGTTATGAGAGACACAAAAATGGATTGAAGTAACGTCACTCACCAAGGGGAAGCAAATACTTCAGCTATCTGTATGTAAGACTTCTAAGCACTGGTCAACAATTCTAGCAGTATGGACTGCAAATATTTCATAGAGGTATGACAAAGTAATGTGCCTTGTTAAGGTCCTAAAGATTGAGAAAGAATGCCAGTTATTGTATGTATAAAAGTCTTTTAGAAAATATTGGCACTCATATCAGAAAACTCGTTACTTTCTTCCATCCGTCACAAAATTTTTTGTACAAAACGAGGTCCTCTCTAGCTGCATCAAGAGCACATCTTGCAAATAGATTTCGAGGAGAAACTATTCAAACTTCGATTTTTCAAAAAGTTTAATTTGAAACGAGGATTTGGAAAAAAAAATCAAGCTTTATTTTGTGAATGCCATCTATACAAAACGTTGGAGAAAAATCGAAACTTCAACAATTACAAAAAAAGCTTTGGTGGGACATTATTGTTCTGCCTGTAAGAAAGTAGATCTTACCGAATCATCTTCAACAGGCTGTGTATTTTGAGAAAACTAGAGAGCATAAAGTTTTTCGGGCACTTTTTCTTGATTCATACATTGTACTCCATTTTGAATGTTCTTCTATTTTGACATATCTATGGGTGTATTAAGGGAGTTGCAGAAACGTCGCTATATAAGTCCTCACGACTTGACTACAATCACTTCATAAGCTCCTTATCGGGAATTGTTCAATTGTGCTATGCCTTATAACTCACAAATATTTCTTTTTTGGTTCCATAATCAGAATTATCGCATCAAGCACCATTATCCAGTTGCTGACAATTGTGTAAATAGTGCCCAACAAAGTTTTACATGTGAAACTGTAGACCTACTAATTCTGATTACCACAAGCTCTGAGTTAAATGCTCTGACCTAATCTCAACGTCTCCGATTGCGGTATTTAGCAACAAAGACCAAAAAATTAAGCGCAGCATTTGGGTTTCCGAATTAACTTCTACCGTTTTGCATTGAGCCATTAGTCTCCTTATTTTACAAATAATCTGAATTGTGACCATCTACTGTATCTGTCTCTGTCCATTTTGTTGCTAGTAATGGTATAGAGGTAATTCATATGCAGTCACCTCACCAGAAAATTAGTCAAGAACGTTAAGTTTATTCTTTGCATTGGCCCACATCATTTCGTAGAGGAACAAATGCTCATTCCAAATCTGTCTTCAGTACCTGCTGTGCGCCTCTAAAGGAGTTACGGACGTCTTTTGTGTCAAAAAATTGAGCGCAATCAAACAAATTATTCAAAACCGCCAAAACCGTTTTAAGTGGTCAGCGTTGGGTAAGGCCCTGGGCATACTTTACGCGATTTCAGTCGCGACGCGATTTGTCAGTACTCCAAATGTTTATAACTCATCGTATGGGGTTTCTGAATATACGGGAGACGGGACATTTTAACAACCTACGAAAGTTATACATGCTGTGCATATGGGGTCTACCAGTATTGAATTTAAAGACATCTGGCAAATTGCCAGATCGCGTAGCGACTGAAATCGCGTGAGGTATGTCCCTTGCCTAACAGATCACATACGCAAAGGATATTTTTTGTCTAATATATTTCCACCCATCACTGCTCTATTTGAGTGTTCAGGAAACAAAAAAAATTTATACATGCGTTCAATGAATCCGTAGGCGCGTAGCAGGTGCGTAGACAGTTTCGGAATCGCATTTGATATCCTAGAAAATGCTACAAACTCATCCAAAAAGGTTGCTCCAACAAGAAACACAACCCTCAATAGTTGCGAACAGTACATAATGATTAGAGCGAGTATTTAAGCCACTCAATGAAGTTCTTGCTCTTTGCGATACTTCCATTGTTAGAAGCCTGGCCCAATCCGAACAGCAGCGACGGAATCTTCAGGTGTGTTTTATTTTACGCAACTCGTTCAAAATCTAGGATTTACAGGGGCTCGGACAAGCATCCTAGTCTTCCGCAACTTAAATATTCTCACACAGGTTAGAAACATCCACTTTTTTCATACAGTTGGACCGAGCGTTCGAAAATCTCCGAAAATCTTGTATGCAAGATCAAGAACGCAAGCGCATGCTACCGAACTTTAGTTTGTAAGTGTTTCTAAATGCCCTTCAAGGACAAGCCTTGCATAAAACTTGCTTGCGTTACGAGCTAAAGCATTGTAATTCATGGGAAAACACTAAGCAAAAGCTTTGTATTTTACGGTTTTATTTTGCATCTCATACGACTCATAAGATCATGATTATACCAACTATGCGTATGTGTCAACTCAGAAGATCGAGACTGTTCCAAAAAAAAATAAGTAGCGTTGTAGCACAGGACAAAGCTTCAGAGGCGGTCACTGAATATTAGATTCGCGTCAGTTATCCTACTTCTCAGTGCTTCGGCCCAACTAACCCGACACCATATCAGCTGCAGCTTATTTCCTTGCATAGATTCTAGAAGCCTTCGCCAATGTCTCGTGCCTTTTCTTCTTCCATTCGTTTTCTTAAAGGCACCGTTCACCCAAAATGGAGGTTTTTTTTGGGTGGACGGTGCCTTTAAGAGAAAACCTTCTGGAGCGAGAAATCCGCTCCGGAAGTAGCAAAGTGGGCGGGGCGACAAGGTCGCCCCGCCCACTTGCATGCTTTATCTCGCCTGCGCTTGTTGCAGAGGGTTCTCGACACAGGGATTTTTGGGGGTTTTACGGATTTCCGACTCCATATTCGGAATCAGGGCTTTCAGAAGGCCTGAAGGCGACAAAAACATTGATTTTGGGTGGACGGTGCCTCTAAAAGCCGGCGATGTCTACTTAGTGTCTGTCTTCTGAGGAAATCTGCATCTCCGCGATGTCCAGCTATCAGAGACTTAATGTTGAGTAGCTAAAAGTATTCTTTCTGAAAGCTGTCTCCCTTGACGATGAGCTAACTTCTTTCCGTCCCCGCTCATCTTGTTACAAGCCTAATCCTAGTTCGCATTCGCCGGGCCTAACTGCGCGTCGCCTCCGGGTGATTAGCTTTTCCTAACTTCTACTCGAGAAATTTGTTGGAACTTAAGAAAGTATTTTATTATGAGCGTTTTCTTCTACAACGGGCTTGTCGCTTCCTACTCTTCGGATAAGCAGCCTGGCGCTGGAATCGTGAGCAGAGCTTTGCCAAGGAAATTAGGACCGTCACGCAGCCAAACTGTGACCTTCCTAACCATAATCAAAGGCAACCACTCGACCAACTCTGTGATTGATTCTTTCAGACAGTTTTGCCACAAGAATACACTTAAGATTTTAGCACAACTTGGATACTGCGAAGAAGGATGGGCTTACTGCAACAAAACGCATGCTTGTTATAAGGTATGTGTTCATTTCTCAAATGAAAAAATTTTCGTCGGCTGAAATCGTTGAAAGCATGCTCGCCCAATCTAACCAGCGAGTAAAGTAGGCTAAAATGAGTAAAAGTGCAATGCTCCATTTAGACACTTTTATCAAAGCACACAGATTTCTTGCTACTTAATGTATGATTGCGTAAAACTCAGGAGCTTTTTTTAGTCGTGCTTTTGCTTGCTGTTCGTTGTTGTCGCACCATAAAAGATGATTCCTACTGTGTGAAACTTTTGACCATTTGCATTATCAATGACAGTCTTGTCTACAGAAACAAAACAAAGTTTAAAAGAAGATTAGCATTTATTGCGTCAGTGAGTGACAGAAAGGTGAAAATGAACGCAACCAATGACACCTTGATAATGACACCTATTTGTAAGGAAAAGAACAGTGTCTTCTGTATCCCAGATGAAAATCAAGTTCAAACCAGCAGCACTAGACCTACTGTATGCTATATGGGTTTGAATTTTTTTTTGCACTCTGGCAGCCGACGCTGCTTTGGGACATGTAAATGCCGTCGTCCTTATATTGCTTACACAATCCTATCCAGTTCCCAACATAAGTCAAATGCCACCTTCTTCAAAAAAAAAACCTACTAATTTCGCAAATTTGGCGAAGTAGCCTCAGACCTTTTTGAAGCCCCTCACTACTCCTCTTTTTTTTCAAAATTTGAGCTCTTGGTCAATTTTAAAACAATGGTAAGAAACACAGGCCCTTTTCTTCGCCATTCATTCTACAAAGATTCGAAAACATATTTTCTAAGGGAATGTACCTACGCGTTGTACCCTTTCATCCAACGGGATATGTGGCTGGAAGTCGACCGCTCGCACTCGCTACACAGCCTGCGTCTCTGTCGCCGGCTCTATGATCATTCTTTAGCCTTGGTTAGGCCTCTATCCTCATAGGTCCTCATAAAAGCCACTAGGCTCAAAAAAATGTAAAACACTAAACACATATAGAACTCTTCTTTAGCGCAAGGTCGCCTTGCAGAGTTAATTTAGGCATGCACCAAACAGCTTCAAAACATGTTTGAGTGAAATTCTTCTGTTTCCTAGAGCGGAATCCTGACCAAGCGACAATAACCCAGTCATCCTTACCACTTGCTAGCATATAATTATCAGCTACAAATCTAGATCAAATGTAGCTATTATTTTTTTGCAGAAAACTGCAACAAAGAAAAAACCAGCATTGTTTGAGGCGCTAGATTATCAAGTTATTCGAATAGTCGAATATTCGGACAGGTATGATTATTCGAATATTCGAATAGTCGAATATTCGACCAGCCCCATTTATTCGAATATTCGTTCATTCGAATTTTAAATGTAGCATTATTCGAATATTCGAATTCAAATAATTTGAAAATCACAGATCGAATAGTATTTTCATTCGAATATTTTTCAAAAGCCGATTATTGGAAATTTATTCGTTCGACGAAATTTTTCGGTTGTTTTAACTATATTTACAAGTATAAATGAGTCACTTGCACATTTTTATAACCCATAAAAGTAGGTTTTTCGCGACCCATTCTCGCCCCCCCCCTCCCTTTAGACCGCCACTGACACAGACTGATCAAAACTCAGACTAAAAGTGAAACTTTTTTAGAATTTGGAAGGAAGTCTCAAAAAAAAGTTTTTTGCATACTTTCATAGAAACTTTTGCGCTTGTGTTTCTGCACATATGCAGGAAAATGAAGCTTTAGTCGGACTTCGCAAGATACTACTATGCTAGCTACTTGTACAAGGCTAATTTCATTTTGAAATTTATCGTTTGTGTAAGTTATTTGCTCATTTTTATAGTTTCTTACGCCACTGAGAGATAAAAATAAAATACACATATATTGCACAACAATTTACAAAATTTGTGGGATAAATCATCTTTTGTAGAAGTTGATTTCGGTGTTAATTTGCTTAGAACAACTTTGTAGAACTTCTTCTTGGACGACTGGGACAATGCTGAAAGCCGATGCATTGCCGTTGGAGGACATTTGACTTCAATACACAGCCATGACGAAAACTCCTTTGTAGCCGGTCAACTTAGCTTGTTTTCTTCAAATATGAAGTGCTATATTTGTCATTAAGAGTTGGCAAGGTCGGGAGCGCCGACCTTGCCAACTCTTAATGACAATAATAAATAATACCGCCCTAGAACAGGTTTCGCTTCCGTCTGAAATTCAGAAATGAACAAAAATTTTTAAGGCTGGCTAAGATTGTAGGGAGACCTAAAGTTTCTATCCACTGAAGTTATTCTTGGTTTCCAAAGTCTCTTGTGCATGTAACTAGCCAAAGGTCAAAACGCTTTATTGTAGCTGTGTTGTTTCATAAGAAACCCTTATCCTCTTTTTTATTCAAAAATACTCTCACACATTTTGATTTTAGAATTGTTTAGGTAACTCCGCACTTTCTCAAGTTTGAAAGCGATATGGTTTCATTTGACTTACAGATGCTTAGCGAACTAACCATTAGAGAAATTTGAGTTTCTGTAGTGAAAACATATCCGGTAAGAACAAGATTGAAGAAGAAAGAAGAAGATCGATAGAAGAGGAACAGTCCGAAATAGACCTAACCGCAGGTCTACGCTCAAATTTCAGCCTTCAGAATTAGTTTACGCTACTTTCAAGCGCAAAGTAAATTACAAGCGTCATGTTTACAAAAAGAAATTTGTACAGTATTCTCATGGTTGTCCGCAAAGTCGAATCCTGCTTTGTTTCAAACATAATTCTCGCAGTTCAATGATAATGATAGAATCTCAAAGTAGCTCACGAAGCGCCACCTTATTTGATATCTGTTACTGCTAGCTGCTAAGTAGTGAAATCAGCTATTATATTGCCTCCTCACTCACATGAGAATTTCGGTCAAAACCAAACTAACTTCAAGACTTGTCGCAGTAATTTTTGCAGGACTACTTCTGCAATAGCTGCGTGCTAAAATCTGCGGAAATCTGACGTTCATACGGATACCCATACGTAGAAACAACGGCATTACTCAACTTCACGCTCAACATTGCAGACAGAATTTAAAAAGCAAAACTTTGAGAGCAGGCCTGCGTCTAGCTTTATGTCGGGTGAGTTTCAAATAAAAAAGCTCAAATTTTTTTTAGTGCCCACCTCCCTAAGCACGTGGGTCGCATGCTTCCAAACCAGCTTGAAAACCTGCGGAGTTTCATGAACACATTTTCGGGAACAAATTACGTGTGTAAGTATTTTCAAGTGGAAAAAGAAAATTAGGTTTTCTATAAAGTTATGACACAGCAAGACTGAACCAACTATTTTGACTTCGACTATGTACATACACGAGAGACTTTGGAAGCCAAAATTCAGCTTACTGGATAGAAATCTGAGGTGGACCCATAGTTTTGGCCAGCCTTCAAGCCTGCTTTTTTTGAAATTTTTGGCTTTTTCCTGAACAATCAAACGAAAGAGAAACTTATCTTGTTCACTGATAGGAGCTTTCACACACAAATACCAAATTTCAGATCAATTCGTTGAAAAGCGAATGAGCTACGGCAGTATCAGGGTGGACCTATAGTTTTGACCAACAAAAGCAAATCTGTTTCAACTGAATAAATTTCTGCATGCATTTTTCTACTACAAATATCGACATAGCTACAGAATTGAAGGGCACTCAAGTATATATCGAGCATTTATTCCATGCCTTTCCGGATTTTTTTTCTTTATGAGGTCGAAATCGTTGCAAGCAAATTCACATGTTTTGCACATGTTGCGATCAACGCCTAGCAATTTCGAAAAGCAAAAGGCGCGAAGTTATATTGTTTCAATATCAATGATCTAGTATGCATACACGTCATCAACTCTGAACGCAAAAAACCAATAAAACCCACATAATGCACAAAAAAATTGTACCATTTGATATTGAAATCATGTTTAGCGCTGCAATCAGCAGACATTGAATTATTTACCATATCAATCGACGCTTCGCTTGAGTAGGCCTGTTTCAAAATGCAGAAAGTACGGTGGCTGCACTGACGGCGCCAACTGCACCACTGCATTAGCGGCTGCCAATGCGGTCATTACTTCGGGGTGAGCGTCTACCGATTAGCCCAATATCAACGTGGCTGCAGCCTCTGCATTTTGAAGCGAAACAAACCATAAAAAGCATTACTTTCACCAACACTCAAAACCCCTTTTATATGTATAAAAATCGTACCATTACGCATTGTTGCATTCCTCCTTGATTACCAGGTTCCCCGGGAGCCCAGTTATGGAAGTCAACCTCCGTGCCGTCAATCCATATCCATTCAAGTGTAGAGTTGCTGTTCAAATGATTGGATTGTACCAGACCTATCCAAGTTGCTTGATCAGAACTAGACATTCTGATTCCCGACTGCTTTCTGCGTTGATACCACTGCTT